CCTGAAGTGACATTTCTAATGTCACTTAACCGATACCACACAGTCTTCCTGTCTTCTCTGTGTTGCTCTGATATCGGGATGTTCCATGCCTAAAATGTGACTACAAAAATGGATTTTGGACCAGAGCTTTTATCTGACTGATTATAAGAGTTAATCTCTTGATGAAGCAACCAGTAGTGTTGACAGGCTACTTAGCCTATTCCTACTAGTGTGGCATTAGCTTAGGAGACCATAAATGATTTTGAGAAATTGATGGCCATCCCACTCAATAGTACCAGAGGCTACATATCAAATCACAGTATATTGAAGGTTGGATATTTGAGACATTCTTTCTGATCCATTAAATACAGCAGAAGCCCTCTCTTTACTCCCACAATCCTATTAGGAGTTCATCTTATTGAATCTGAAGCTCTTTGAATGGCAGTTCCTTTGCTGCAACCATAAAAGAACTGTCTCCCACTCATGACTCTCTCTTCATCTATACTGTTTCATTATAGAACACTAGTGGCCCAGTGCACAAAATTTATGCATGGAGTTGGGGGTCTGCCCAGCCCAGCCAGCACCCTCTCCAATCTAGGACCCCTCAGGAGATGTCTAACTGGCAGTTGGACACCCCTTTCACAATCCTGGACTTCTAGCTCCTAACTGCTCACCTGCCTGCCTGCCTTATTACCCCTAACTCCTAACTGCTCCTAACTGCTCCTAACTGCTCACCTAACTTCTAGCTCCTAACTGCTCACCTAACCCTCACCTGCCTGCCTGCCTTATTACCCCTAACTCTTCCCCTGCCAGCCTGATTGCCTCCAACTACCCCCCTCCCCGCCACCCTAGTCACCACTAACTGCTCCCCTCTGCCAGCCTGGTTGCCCCTAACTGCCTCCCCCACTGGCTTGTTGCCCCTAACTTAAGGTGAGCAGACATCCTGCTGTTGGCAGGACAGTCCCGATTTTTAACAATTTGTCCCTCGTCCCACAGTGTTTTTTTTTAAAAAAAAAAAAAAGTCCCGAAATCGAGACTGTTTTAAAATGCCGCAGGACATGGGACAAATTGTTAAAAATCGGGACTGTCCCACCAAAATCGGGACATCTGGTCAACTTACAACTGCCTGGTTGCCCCTAACTGCCCCCCCTCACTGTCTGTCTCCCCTGCCAGCCTGGTTGTTCCCAACTGCCCCTTCCCACCAGCCTGGTCAACCCCAACTGTTCCCCCTGCTGGCCTGGTCATCCTTTATTGCTACCCTCTGTCGGCCTGGTTGCCTTTTACCTTTTACTGTCCCCCCTGCCAGCCTGGTTGTTCCCAACTCCCCCTCCCACCAGCCTGGTCACCTCCAACGGCCCCCCTGCCAGTCTAGTTGCCCCTAACTGCCAAACCCCACCAGCCTGATTGCCCCCAACCCTCCCCTGCCATCCTGGTTGCCCCTAACTGCCACCCCTGCTGGCCTAGTCACTCCTTACTGTACCTTCTACCCCCAACTGCCCCTTCCTGCCAGCCTGGTCACCCCACACAGCCTGCTATTCAGTAGTTTGGCCATCCCTCACTAACCCCCCTGCTAACCTTGTCTCCCCACATAGCCTATGTTCAGTCATTCGTCCAGTTGTTTTAGTCATGATGGCTCTTGGCTTTTTATATATAGGGTGTTGCAAACAGTCCCTGCTAGGCTATCTTTTCCCTCTCTATTTATTCTGTTACCACTTCTGAACCCCAGTAGCCCCCCAAAAACAAAATAATGACCTAAGTTGACACACTCAGAAATCCTACCTTCCGGGCTTTACTAGGTGCCTCTTCCATCAGCTCTTCTCTCTGAAGAGTTGCCTCTGTCCTACTGTGATTAATTAGCACAATGGTCCCTAAACTTCAGCTTGCATCAGTATCACCTGCAGACTTTTTAAAAAATATATATTTTATTGATTTTTCTTACAGAGAAGAAGGGAGAGGGATAGAAAGCTAGAAACGTCGATGAGAGAGAAACATCGATCAGCCGCCTCTTGCACACCCCCTACCGGGGATGTGCCTGCAACCAATGTACATGCCCTTGACCGGAATCGAACCTGGGACCTTTCAGTCCGCAGACCGATGCTCTACCGCTGAGCTAAACTGGTTTCAGCTACCTGCAAACTTTTTAAAACATAAATTGCTGAGACCAAACCCCAGAATTGCTGACTCTATAATCTGAGATAAAATCAGAGAATTTGCATTTCCAAACAAGTTGCCAGGTAACCCTGTTGATGCTGGAGACATGTCTTAAGTAACTACTTACTAGTATTACATAAATAAATAACATAGTGATTTATTTTGTTGAATAAATTAGAGTGAAATAAAGTTGCTCCTAAAATATATATATATATAGATTTTCATTCAGGTATACTTTGTATGTTAGTAAAGAAATGTATGTTATTACAGCCAGTGCACCCACAATTCTTATGGCACATCCTACATGGCTGAGCATTTTTCCTTACAACCCATGTTGACTTGCTAACTCCTGGCATTTATAGACAAGTGGGTATAAGATTCTAAGCTCAATTGTCTCCCAGCAAAAATTCAAGGCACTCAGGTTTTCCTATGAGTACAATCAAGTGGTAAACCCTAGAGGGGACCTTGAAGATGATCAGAAATAGATGTTTGGGTTCCATGCCCAAACTTTATCTTGAACAAGTGATGTTTGTGTTGCAAGAAGCTCCTGAAATCATGCTTATGTTTGCTTTTGTTTTTGCAATTTAGTGAAATGTTTCCTACAGTTTAAATTGTCATTAGAACCTATAAGTTGAGAATAGTGTTCATATGTATGAGTGAATTAGTACTCCATAGGTTAGTCCCCAAGTGTCAGCATCATATCTAACGCAAAATTTGAACAGCTGCACTTGAAAGATACTGCAGTCTGATCAGCCATCTGTTTTCCTAGATTTATTGGTCTGCTGCTTGATAAGATTTTATATTTTCCATTGCCGATTTTCTATCTAAATGGACACATATTGCCATTTTAGTTTGTACTTCCACCGAATATTGATTATCTTCATGTTGTCCCTAATTTCAGGTTTTCATTGTGATCTTAAAAGTCTATAAAACAAGTACATAGTCACAGTTGGTAAATTCAATTTATTAGATTAAATAGATATGTCTCCTTTAGTTAACTCCTTAGAGTGTCTCCCTGAGTTGATTTTAAACCATAAAGAAAATTAAGATGAATATACTTTACAAAAAGAAAATAAGAGCTTTTGTGTTCTTGTTTTTCTATTAAAATAAATTGATATATATATACTTTTGTTATTGCTCCCTCTCTTCTAAGAAAATCATATCCATATTTGACTTACAATCACTCAAGCTATCTAAGTAAAAGCAGTAGGATTCAAAGTCATAAATTAATTTTAAGTACTTGAAATAAAATGTAACAAAGTCTCTTTTTCTTGTTTTGCATAATTATGGAAGCAGAAGGCATCTATAAGCTCAGAAATAGTTGTTTAATGGAGAAGAAAAGTTTGAAATTAGGGTGAAAAGGACAGAAAGAGGAGAAAGATTAGGCAATATTTTTAGCAAATAACGCATCAATAAATAACTTAACAAATTAAGGTAAATGTATAGAGATTCTGTAATAGAAGAAAAGCAGAAGATTTTTATTTTAAGAAGTCTTTGATATAATCAGTAAGCCTCTTTATCATAGAAAATTATTGAAAACCAGAGGCCCGGTGCATGAAATTTGTGCATGGGGAAGGTGTCATTAGGCCCACCCCGCACCCTCTCCAATCTGGAACTCTTAGAGGGATGTCCTACTACCCTCTTACAAACCAGGACTGCTGGCTCCCAACCACTTGCCTGCCTGATTGCCCCTAACTGCTTCTTCCTGCCAGCCTGATACCCCCTAACTATACTCCTGCTAGCCAAGAGTCAGCCCATTTGCCCCTAACTAACCTCCCCTGCCACCCTTGGTCACCCCTAACTGTCCTCCCTGCAAGCCTGATTCCCCCAACTGCCCTTACCTAAAGGCCTGGATTCCCCCCAAGTTTCCTTCCCTGTAGGCCTGGTGACCCGCAAATGTCCTCCCCTGCTATCCTGGTCTCCCCCAATTGCCCTTCTCTGCTGGCCCAGTCACCCTAAATGCCCTTCCCTGGCTGGCCGATTGCCCACAGCTGCCCTCCCCTGCTGGCTATCTTGTGGTGGCCATCTTGTATCCACATGGGGAAGCTATCTTGTATGTTACAGTGATGGTCAATCTGCATATTATTATTTTATTAGATAGGATAGAGGTCCGGTGCACAGGTGGGAGCCAGCTGGTTTGCCCTGAAGGGTGTCCTGAATCAGCATGGGGCAGCCTGGGTGAGAGGACTGTGGTAGTTTGCAGGCCAGCCACACCCCCCAGTACTCAAATGGAGGCCCTGGTATCTGGGATTTATTTATCTTCTATAATTGAAATTTTGTAGGGGAGGCCAAGGCAGGCCAGGGCTGTGGGAGCTTCACTTTCTCCATCACCAGGGACAACCGAAGCCTCCTGCTCTCTCCAGCTCCATGGCTGCCGCCATTTTTGTTGGGATTTATTTATCTTCTATAATTGAAACTTTGTAGCCTTGTGTGGAGGCCTGGGTCTGCCAGGGTATGCAAAAAACTTGGCTTCCTCCATTGCCTGGGAAACTTAAGCCTCCAGCTTGCTTCATGGCCGTAGCCATCTTGGTTAGGTTAATTTGAATAGTTGCTCCTGGTTGGCTGGTGAGTGTGGCTTGTGGGTGTAGGGAAGTGATGGTAAACTTTTATATTACTCTTTTACTAGATAGGATAGGATAAATCCACATGGAATATCTTCAAATATTCTCATAAATATAATAAATTTTACCTAAACAGTTTAGTTGTTCCTTTATTTATTTATTTATTTATTTATTTATTTATTTATTTATTTTTGGTGAGAGTATAAATTTAATCGTCGTTTCATGAAAGTTGTAAAAGACATTGAAAGTTTGCATGATGACCATTAACCTGCATACATTTGACAGTATTTTTGTTGTTGTTTTTCCTAGACTATCAATAAAGTACTGCTTCAGTATGCTGCAATTGTATCAAGTGATTTTAGTTCCTACTGTGATAAGGAAAATGTGGTAAGTTAAAATGTCTCTACTTTCAAGTATTCTTCAGTTGAGATCCACTTCTTCCAGCTAGTAAAAAAGCAAGAGGCATTGTTTTCTTTCTGTTTTCATACAGGATGACAGTTGAGAAGTATTTCAAGAAGTTTTTTGAATACTTCTCTGGTAGTCATGAACTGGATACAGCACAGAATTCAGAGGAAGGTTGAAAGCATCTCAATGCCAGGTTCCAAGATGATAAAGAATAAGACAATTCATTTAAAACCCACATTATTTGGAACTGAGAACTAGGGAGTTAAAAAGTTGTTTAGTGTTGACACCAAGTAGTTTAGTTTAGTTTTGTACCAGTACTAAAATGAGTAAACTTTCCATGTTTTTTTCAACTAAAATTTATTCATTTGGTTTTCAAATAAATTGAGAATGATTGTTAATTTGAGGAATGATGCTAATTTCCACTCTAAATTAAGCTTTTAATTTGGGGGATGTTTGAGAATGTTTATAAAAACCGAGCCAATATTGCAAGTTAATCAATAAAAGGCATAAAGAGAAGCAAAATAAGCTAAAATGATTTGAAATATAATGTGTTTTTTAATGGTGGAAGATGAAATATTTCTTATTCACTATATGTAGTCTTAGAAGAAATATGTTGTTAACAATATAGAATTTTTTAAAAAGCACCGAAAATAGTATTTAAAAATCAGTGCAATTATTTTAAATAGGAAAACCATTTCCACTCCTTGAAAAAAATCAGTATTACCAGATAAGTCTAAAGTTGCTAGTCTTCTCCCTGAAAACTCATTGACCTCTTGCTGACAGCTCATTAAGTTAGGGCAGTTCTAATTGTTTTTGAAGGTCCCAGAAGATTCTTCTTTCTTTTTAATTAATATCCTGCCTAGGAATTTTATTAAAACTCTGATATCTATGCAGATACCTTTAATTGCCATTGGTTATAAATACTCTAATGGGCAAGAAAGAGCATTTATTTATTAAAAACACACATTTTTAATTAAAGGCTTATATATTTGAAAAGTGGCATACTGAAATTCATAACAGCACCAGAAAGTTTCAGAAAAGATTTTGATTTTATTAGGAGAGCCAAATTGAAGATTTTGAAAGGGGTCTCTGAATTACCAAGGCTAATTCCTGTCATTCGGAAAGGAACATTACTTTTTAATGGCCCCTTCCACTTTATATGTGAATGTTTTAGAGTATGTTTTATTTTTTTAAAACCTGAGAAAAAAATCATAAATCAGTGTTTATTGTATTATTTTGTGTTTTTTTTCCTGTATATTTTATAATTTTCAAAATCAAACTTTTATAAAAAAGAAAAAAACTTTACAAATATTATATCCCAGGAACTTAACATTTTCTTTTCCTCAGTGCCTTCCCCCCTAATTACTGATATCTTGCTTCTCATCAAGAGCCATGGTGATGAGAAGTAAGAACATTACTTTGTTCTTAATTTTCTCCCTGGTGGGATTGACCAACTCCCAGCCAATCTTCTCCCTCCGCAATGAAAATTAAAATCTCAAAAACCTTATTCCCGATTGGGGAAAATAAAAGTGGATTACCTCAGCTTGCTGACTTGGGGTCTGATGCCGAGTTCCTGAAAATGTGACCAGGCATGCCTTGGAAAGGACTAAGCCTGATCCAGTGGCTCTCAATCGCGGCAGGAGATCAGGTTCATTTGTGGTACATGTGGCTCAGCCTACTGAACAGCATCAACAGGAAATAAATAGATATCTGTGTTTAAACAATAAAATATTTATGTGACTGTAATCAAGTAAACAGAAAATAAGTTTTAAATCGTTTTTCCATAAATTGAAGTTAGGATGTGGTCTTCAGTAGAGCAGAAAGTTTTCAAAGGTCAGAATGCGGTTAAAGCAAAAACAGAATCTTTCCACTGATGAGAGCTAGTGCCTCCCTGATGTCCTGTGACTCCTCTGCATGCCTCTCTCTGATCCATTGGCTTGTTTCCCAGCAGCTTGGAAGATACAGCCATTCTGCTTTCTTTTCTGTTTTTCTTTCCCTTGATGTAGTGGCTCTTTGGGATCAGTATGCAGCAACTAGTAAATTACTCTAGAACTGTTCCTGAATTCTCTTTCCTAATTATAAATTAATTCTTACTATTCAAAGGTTACATCTAGTCCTGCCACAAAGCTGTACATTTTTATTGTTATATTTCTGCCTTCTTGGGGTGGGGAGGACAGGGAAAGAAACATGTTGTAGGCAAATATAAGGCTCTATGCAATAGTCTGGGAGAAAAAAAAAAAAAAAGCTAAAAGGCACAGCATCACATACAGTGGGTTTAAGGTCAGCTCATGAGAGAGTGAAAAAAACACAAATGTATAGCAAAGTAAAACAATTGTCAAGTAACTGGCCAAAGGATACAATGTAGGAAAGAGAAGGTTTCCACCTGAATGATGGATTTGATTCAAGTAGGCAAAGAGGCTAAGGGAAGAGGCCGCACGCTCAGCCAAGTCACAGCAAATGGGAAGTGCAGGTATTTTGGAGGGAATTAGTTGCCGGGAGTTGGAGGTGATCATAATGCAGCAGATGAAGATGAGAAGGAATCACTCTTAGGAGCCAGATAATGAAGGACCGTGAATATCAACTTGTGGAGTTTTTAGCCTAAGAGAATCCGCTTAAGGTTTCCTTGGTGTTTTTGTTTGTTTATTTCGTTTTGATTTTTAAATTTCAGATAGTGTTTTAGTTTTTAAAAAAGAGAAATTATGACATTTAAAACTAATCTGTTTTCCTTGAAATAAATCACAGAAAAACAGTTTGGTTAATTTCTAAGTATAAATACCAAGATGTTAAGAATTAAACACACACACACACACACACACACACACACACACACACACCATACAACGTTAGTAGCAATTCTTCAATGCTTTATTGTCTGAGTATATTGTTAAAGTTCATTCTTTAAAATGGTTGTTATGTTTTCTCCTTCCATTTAACTGTTTAAAAGCATAATCTTAAAGTACGGAATTATTACATTTGCCAAATGCAATAGGGCTTCAATGATAGGTTGTATACGCTTACATTTAAGGTAAACTCATTCCATAATTTCGTGTAAAAGGATTATGACATTGTTTGTTTTGTGCTTGCTTTACTTAAAGCCCTGTATACTGATGAACAATATTCAGCAATTACGGGTCCAGTTGGAAAAAATGTTTGAGTCCATGGGAGGAAAAGAGGTGGGTATATTTTCATGCCTATAATTGCTTAATACCTACTTAGAGATCATTAGCAGCATATCTGTCATTTAAAGGTTCATAATCAAGTTTTACATGATTTAGCTAAAGAAAGGGAAATGATAATAGCTGAAGTTATTATTATGAAATATAATATAGTAAATATATTAGCAGTGTGGATGGGATGAGGAAGATGGTCAGTAGCCTTTTGCAGTGTATATATATAGTCATATATATGCACAATTAAATAGATATGCTAATGATCTTTAAAGTTTCACAGAGTACCGATTTTTTTTTTGCCATATTGTGCAATGCCAACTTGATATCAATGTTCATTCTGAAATGTGTTTTGTGGCGCTGGTGGTTTTGAGTATTGGTGGTTTATTCATGTTTTAATATATCTGTGAAAAATGTCTTGTGTGCTGTGCCTGTAATGTGTCATGTCTTTGTCCAACACCTTATGACCTGCAATCCCATGAGCAGAAGAAGGAAGGAGAAAGATTCTCTTATGAGGTTTGTGATAGTAAGCACTGTATCCTTTACCTGGCTGATCCCCCCACTGAACTTAAAGCCCAGTACACTCCCTCCTTAATCCCATTTGCTTGTCTGGATCAGGCAGACAGTGAAGCAGTAGCTCTGTACCTGCCTCTTCCTGCTGCAGCTCCTCTCTCTCACAAACCAACGGGAGCACCTGGGGAATGAGGACCGGAGACGGTGCCAAGAGAGCAGGCAGCTGGCATTCTCCCCCTCCCTCTCCCCACCATCCAGAAAAATATCCAAGGGTAGCTAGAGGGGGGAAGTATTTCTGGTCAAGATTTTATTTACATTGTTCCTTATGTATAACTCATACAGTTACTCTGGTAAGTGTATGAGATATACATAATAGTGGGTTTATTTCAAAGCAAATATCTTTTTTATGTCTAAATGTATAAGACCCCGAATGCTGCTTTAAAGACTGGGCCTCTACACATGTGAGGTTGACTCCAAGGAGACATTTCTACACCCCCCTCTCCCGCCTCCATGTCCTTTTTGTCCTCTGTGAGCCTGTCTTTTGAATAACGAACTTGCTATTTAGCATCCTACAGGCAAGAGGCACTGGGATACACGTGTGAAGGTGCAACAGTTCAAGGACGAACTTGGATGCACTGTGCTTCTGCCCCTGCAGACTTGGTCTAATTTGTATAAAATAAGAACCTCTTCCCCAAAGCATGCTATGTATTGGTTCTGCACGGTGTGAGAGCATCAATCTCACTGTTAGAATTCTTCGCTGAACTAGGAGAGCACAAGCAATTAGGGATCAGACGTGAAGATCCCCTTTGTAGTTTTAGCTGTGTGTTATATTCGGACTTTAAGTTCACTTGCTGATTTGAAAAGCAGTGGAGAAATTACTGATTTCTTGTGGGAAATTCTACCTCCGTTTAGTGGCTGTTAAAGACCACAAATCATTTATGGGTGAAGTTATACCAAATGTGCTATTTCCAGAAATTTCTCCTAATCCTACTACTATTTTATTACTCTTTATGGCAGAGTGATATATTGCTAATTGCGTATTAATCAGATGAATCATATCTATACTTAAATAAACTGTGTGGGCCAAACCACTTGCTAAACTAGAAAAGTTGTGGGATGGCTTGTTCACTAATCAAAAATGGATTCCTTATTTCCAATAAATTCCCCAGCTTGAACTGTGCAGGTTTCACATTATAAATTTAGTTGCAAGTTTATGGCTACATCACAGGACTCTTCTTGACTAGAGAAGATAATGAAACTAGAAACACTGAGCTCGGGGGCCTTCTCCCTTCATAACATTCGCAATGTCAATTGCTGAATTTCTCTTACATAATTTAAATAGAAAAGTCAAATAAGCAAATGAATGTCTAGCTTCTAACAATATAACCTGTGAGGGGGACAGCATGGGCCCTGGCTCCTTTCTTTCCAACATTTAAAATGTTTTTCTTCGTCGTCTCCTTTTCCTTGCTCTCTTCTATTCTCCCGTCTCCCTTTCTGGGCATTCTTTTCTACTTTTACATCTTGTAATTTGCTGCTAAGAAAAAGCTTCAGGCAGACCCAGTCAGCATGGCACATGGGTTGATAAAAATGTGAGAGGAAACGAGACCTGAACCCAAGTCTGAGTGTAACATGCAGCCTCCCAGATAGGAATAAACTTTATTATTAATACAGAATTCTGTGAAGATTGCTCATTGCTACACTTGGCCTCCCCTCGGCACCAGAATCTCAAAATAACAGGCAGAGACTTTCCAATGCAGTTATCTGTAAACGGCAGTGTCTTAACTCGGGGGCTTTTACAAAGATGAAAGAAATTTATTACGAATGACAAAAATCCACCCTTTCATATGAAAAATATATGTAGCACTGAAAACAGGCTTATCCAAGCCTTTAAAGGTACTCTAGTGCCAATTTCCAGTTTTTCCTCGCCGTGGAACTGGTTATAAAATCTTGACTGGCATGGCTAAGGGAAACTTTCCACCCTAGATCTTACCCTTCTTTTAGGAGTTTCTTCTTATTTTCATCCTCTACCATCTGTGCTAGGATGTGCACTTCTTGCCACAAAAGATCTAATTAGCAAACGGTTGCTTGTGTACTTGCTCAAAATAGCTTTTGATGCCACGTGTTCATTAGTTGGCTTCTAACCGCAGTGTTGCTTGCCTCGCCTACTCTCTGCGTAGTGCTGGCCGCTTGCAGGCCTGGCTGCATGCTGCTGCAGCTCTCAGCTGCTTTAGCCCAACCAAGGCGGGGGCAGCTGTTCTTTCTTTGCAGGATGAATCTTTTCCATCTGCAAAGAGGAAGAAGGCCTGAAACCTTTTTGGGGGCAGAAAGGGTCACTCTCTGTACAGAGTCCAAGATGAAAACATTGCCTAACAGGATGGCCATTTGGGGCTGCTAGTGTTGACAGTGGCTCCCGAAGCAGTCACGTGAGCAGTCACTGTTAACATCTGCCTGCCCAGCGGCCTGCGCCCCATGTTGACACATTCTTTTCCAATGCACTAAAGGAAAAAGAAAACCATGAAATCCCTTCTCCTATGAAGTGATTTTCCAACATGCTTCCCTGCATACAATTTAAGAGCATGCTTTGGCATAGCAACTCTCTGATTACCATGGAAAAGTTTTTCTTGTTTGTTTATTTGTAATGCCACACAAACTTTGGAGCAAAAGGAACCTTTAGGAATAATGCCCAGAGTCTTTACCTTAAAAATCACCTCAGGTGATTTTTTTAATGTGCATATAGTTTTGGGAATCCTTATACTGAAAGAAATAAAATGGCCCACCCATAATATGGGTGACTTAAGATAGAATTTTTATACCATGAGGTCCAAACTGTATTACCTGCCCCTTTACCACACAATAACAAAAGTGATTATCAGGATGCCAGGTAATAATTTTCATTTATTAATGAGTGATCTTGTTATTATCCTACAAAAGCACTAATAGCTCAAAAGCAAAACAAACATATTTTGATGTATGTTATTTTAATAGCTTTATTATTTCATGAGTATAAGTTCAGTACACATCAATTGCAAATAAATACCTAGTCTGTATTAATTTCTCATAAATGCATAGTGCTATGGACAGGACTTAGTTGTACTTTCTTGATCTGCAATATAATTTGTACAAGTACATGAAAAATAAAATCTAAAATTTAATTTCAGGAAGTCATAATAGTCATTATGAAACTTTACAGAACTTATTGATTCAGAACTATGACTATATTGTGTAAGCAGAAGACACATCATTCCTTCAAAAACCTGTGCTGGTGCAATATTGTTGAATGGTAGAATCCATAATTATCACCAGGCCTACTAACCTATTGACAGCACTTCAGATTCTGGAAGTTAGCCATTATTAAGACATTTAGAGGAAATAAGGGATTTGTTTGCCTACCTAAATTCTCTCATTCTGCTAAACACAGCGGAAAACAATTAGGTACAACAATAATGTTGTGTTTATTAATGTTTCAAAAAACTTGAATTTTTTGAGCCATCTCATTGTGGTAATCTTTCCTGAACAGGGCCAAGGAATCTAGAACATAACTTCATCTACCTTAAAACATATATTTTTTTATTGAACAAATTAATACTGTTTTGTTTCAGAGATGAGTATCTATATTAATTTTCATTTTTTATTTCTTTTTTAATATGTTTTTATTGACTTTAGAGAGCCAGAGGGAGAGAGAGAAACATCAATGAGAGAAACATCAATAAGCTGCCTTTTTCTCACCTTCTACTGGGGATCAAGCCTGCAACCCGAGCATGTGCACTGACTGGGAATCAAACCACTGACCTTTGTTTCATGGGATAACATTCAATCCACTGAGCAACACAGGCCCGGGCTTATTTTTCATTTTCATGATGAATCTGTTATATCAATTAGAAATTGCATCTGAGTGCCAAAGCATATGCTCATAGCTCATTGAAATCTCTTATAAAATACGTTAGCCATGTGGACTCAGTTTTCAGCTACATAGACCAGAGAGGGCAGAAATTATCTTCTGTCATATTTTACTTAGCACTATCCTCTCAACTTTATCCGTGCTGGGCAATAAGGGATTGAAGATCACTGCTTTATCAGAAACACTACTCCATTCCAGTAGTTCTTAAACTTAAGCATATATCAGAACTACTTGAAGAGCTTATGAAAATATTGCAGAATTCAATCCTTAGAGTATTTGATTCATTATGTCTGGAGTGGTGATAAATTCCATGATGCTGATGATACTGGCCAGGAGACCACATTTTGAAAATTACTGTTCTTTGTTTTTAGAGTAGCAATCAGATATTTAGGAAATGGCTCAGAATACCTTTGTGGTATCCTAACTGACCTACTTAATGTATTTCGAATCTTGATAGACTAAACATCTAGCCTCTCTGACTACACCACCTCTTGTAATAAGATTAAATATAAAATTTAAGCTAAGTCCCAGATGATTAAAAATATCCTGGACATTAGCTACCTATATTTTGAAAATATACCTGCACTATTGCACC